GTCTGGATCGTGGACACTGCAATACCTGGACACAGCAGAATAGAAGAAAAAGAATTGGAGAAAATCACAAAATATAAAGATCTGCAAACAGAAGTAGAACGACTGTGGCAAAAGAAAGCAAAGATAGTACCAATAGTCATCAGTGCCTTGGGTGCAGTCCCAAAACATCTGGAGCACCACTTGAACTCCATTAGTATTGACAAAATCACCATCAGTCAATTGCAAAAGACAGCTTTACTTGGAACAGCTTACATCCTGCGACGATACCTTTAATATTAGTAAACATCTGCCTATCCCAGGTCTAGGGAAGGACTCAATAGGTGGACAAAAATGCCAAATCTAGTCTAAACATCTGGCTGACTAAGTGACCAACCATAATAACAATAGGAATCAAACTGGGAAATAGTAATAAGAATCAAACCGGGAAATTCCAGGACTGAAGAACTTGTGAAATGGGTTGGGGCCAGGATTGGTAGACACAACAGAAGGGAAGAAAGCCTAACTGGAGGGAGCCATTTATGTGTGAGAAGACCACAGTTCAGAGAAGAAATGTTACAATGAAACATAACTTGGCTGTACTAGACATCAGTAGTTAGTTAATTAGAGTTCTATCCAGCCTGTATTTCTTCTAGAAGCTCAAGCCAGCTTATGCGGGGATTTCCCTTCATTGTGATGACTGCAACAACTGTGAGGTGAGGAGAGAGAGGGTGACAAGCCCAAAGTCACCTTGTAAGTTTCCATGATTTTAGTTTGGTGACATCTCAGTAAATGAGAGTATGACATTGTTGCTCTTATCCATTTTTACTCAAGTTTACAATCATTATCTTGCAGTGCATTTACACATTTCTTCTATTTTTAGCCAACTTTTGGGCATTGTAGGAGAGCTTTACAATTGTTACACCCTTCAGCTCATTCCGTCATTTGACATATCTAGAGAATCAGCTAGAAAAACCTCAAGTGATCTTGTCTAATGTTCTCTGACATACCCGGTGATTAGTGATACATTTGGCCAGACTTTAGCTATTTAGTTACCAATATATTTTGACTTTCTACAGTAAGTGTGTGACAGAGCTCTGAGTAAGGGCTTCAACAAACCTCTTATCAGCTCATAACAGATAAAAGCTAAGATCTTGGGTTGCTTCTCGATGAGGTGTCTTTTGTGCAATCGCTCTGCCTCCTTTATGGAATTTTACCCAGGTCATAATGGTTGAGACACCACCTTCTATTTCTTAATTTCCTGGGTTTTTCCAAGAGCTCTTTCCAGTTTTTGCTTATCACAAAAAGATGTTAAAAAGGAAAGGGCAGAAAAGCTGCACTGTGCCATTTATCTGATAGAGTCAGAAGTTGTCTCCTAATACCTAACCATTTGCAAAAGGCCCTCCAGAGGTAGGATTTGAATCAGAGATTTCCTAGGTCTAAGTATGTCCTGTAATCATGTTTACACTGGTTGAACTGTGCCCCTCAGGAAGTAGGAAGCATGTAGGAATCAAGGCACCAAGATGAGGACATCTAGCCTTACACAAAAATGAGTGCATGATAATGACTTTATTATAGTCACTTTTCTCTTCCTCACAAAGTACAAAACCAAGCTGTATGGACAACTGAAAATGTACTTCTCACACATAGGAGAGAGGATACAGTAAAGACAATTAGGCACAGGAAAACGGAGGCTAAACAGAAGAGGAGCATGTCTCTTACTACTCTACAAAAAACAGCTCTGTATTTGGGAGCAAATCCAGCGTTAAGATAAGGAACAGCCTTGAAGTTGCTCATCAATCACCCAGCAGTAATCTTCCACTATAGTGAGATATGTTGTTAAAAATATTGTACTGATTAGCTGTAATGATAAATTAGCATATACAATATGATGCAAATCGGCATTTTTTTTCCTTGAGATGCATTTCCTCTTTTGGGGTGATGTTTAAGGGGCCACCCTTCTAAACAGTAGTCTCTGGAGGAAGACTTTCTTTTCTCTTCTCTTGCCTCCTACTGATGGTTGGAGCTGAGAGCAACAGATGAGCAGAAAGAAAGCTCAGCTTCCCCAAACAGTAATCTTTCCTTACCAATGGTTTAAAAGCATGAACTGCCATCTGGTGGACATTCTATAAATGATTAGCAAAACATACTTTCACCCAGTAAGAGTTTATAATACTGTATATTCTAATCCATTTCCACTAGGACAGAAAACCCTTCTCTGCTTGGTAGATGGACAACACTGGAATTAAAGCAAAAACGATGCTAGTCTGAGTAACAGAAATCAACATTCTTTAATTGTCATCTTTCTTAACAATAGTCTGGACATTCTATGAGTGGTATACACCTTCCTTAGTTGAGTTCTCAGACTAGAGCAGTGTTTCTCAGCCTTAGCAACTTTAAGATATGTGGACTTCAACTCCCAGAATTCCCCAGCGCCAAGAGAGGCATAGCTGTTAACTAAAAGGCCATGCCCTCGTGCTGGAGGTTCCATGAGTCCACCACCCCAGATGAGTGAGGAGGAAGAACAAAACAAAGACACATCACAAGCTGATGATGAAGGGAACACCATATTGTCTGGCTCCTCCACAAAACTAAGGTTAAGCATTGTGGAAGAACCATCCTGAACATTAAAAGATCTCTCCGGACTGCAAGCAGCCAAACTTGCTTAATCGTGCATCTATTTGAAAAAACAATTAGTAGACATCCTTCACTGGCAAACCCAGTACAAAGCCAGTTGATGGCAGTCAGCAACCTGAATTTCAGTACTGGGCCCAAGGTTAGCGGGGCAGTTGCAATTCCCAATGGGAAGCAGCCCAAGCTGACTCCTCTAGATTCAACTACAAAATGATTAGCAAAGACATTACAATGGGTGGAAAACTTCTTCTCATGCACCTTCAGTTCTATTTCTGATAGTTTCTTATAAGAATTCATAGTTATTCCTAATATTGTATACTGCTCTCATGCACTCAAAGCACTTTGTGTACTTTATTTAATAGTAATCCTTGCAAGAACGTTGTAAGATAAATCAATATTATGTTTCTCTCCTTCTTTGAAGATGAGGAATACTGACGTTGGAAGAGAGTGGCTTATCCAGGGCACATACTGAATTCACAGGAGAGGTGAAATCTGAACTACAGACTTCCTGATTTATACCTTTATTTTAGCTACTACTTTATACCAGACATCTCTAGTTTTACTATTAATTGTTGCATGTATAACTTGTCTTGAACTCCTCTAGGGGCTCAAGGCAAGACATCTAATACCCCCCCACAATTTTTTTCTTTTCCCATTTGCTTTCATTTTTGTCTTTTTCCTTTCGTATTTGCTTTCATTTTCTTTTTAAAACCATATTTTTAGTCGATGTTTAATTATTGTTTGTCTCTTTAATAAAAATAACAAAACCAATCAAATCAGTCAGTCAGTCAACCTCCGCCTGCTCTTACAAAGTTCTGCCACTCACCTTTAGCACTTCTTGGGCAGCAACGCCTCCAATAAAGCTATTCATAGGGCTCAGATCCCCCATACATCCATAAGCAAACGTCCGTATCAGATCCTTTTGCAGTAGTTCCTGTTCCCCAGCGAGGGTCTCCGCCAGCTCTACCAACCTGTCTGCATCTGCCTGCCAAGGAATAATAACTGAGGCTGAAAAAAAGATTTGGCTGAGGAAGGAAGTGGGGAGGAAGAGAGGGGAGGGGAGGGAAAGGAGAAAGAAGGTAAGTAGGTAGGTAGGTAGGTAGACCAGAGAGACTTACCTGATTCTGAGGCCTAGGAAGTCGACCAAATTTATTCTGGAAAATGTGAACTGCCTGGAAGGCCACGTGAAGAGTGCGATAACGAAACATTTTATTCCTGTCTGGGGTTTTGATCTTAGGATCAGCCATGGAGGCTTGCAGAGACTTCTAGGAATACAGAGAAATAAGCTAAAAGGGAAAGCTGCATCTAATACATGTCTTTTCTCTATGATACCATATCTCAAGAAAGTATTCTCTCGCCAATTTAATATATGACGTCCACCTAGCTCAGTAACATCTGCCACAGCGAGTCTCAAATTTTTGAATTTTAAGTCCAACATCACTGTAACAAAGAATTGCAGACAGAGACAAAAAGCCCACTTTTTCCAGAAAGTATATACAAGCAATTTACTATTGACACTTATCAGTTATGGCACTTTTGAAGTAAATACCATAAAGAAATAGAATATTGTTGACAATCATTTTTACTAATAAAATTGCAAAATAATGAATAAGAGCTGGGGTTGACCTTGCATTTGCCACTGAAGGCAGTCTCTCCTAAGGCCAAACCAAAAAATATATACAAACAATGAGAGAGGGGGAGCTAACTACACAAACCTTCCAGGTACTGCTCCAGACCTGGACTCCAGGAAAGACTGAGATCCTTGGCTTGTTTTGCCTCAACACTCTCAACTGGAGATGGGGTGCTTTGCCACTTTCTCTGTTTTTTTTCCCCCCATGATCAGAACAGGGGAATCATGCTTTGCCTCACCTACTTCTACATATCACCACTGATACATGTGCCATTGACCTACAGTGATTTTTAAGTTGAGCTCAGACACAGGCCCTTTCCAGCTTGCTCAACCTGGAGCGAACCTGAAATCTTCTGTATGTAACACATGCATTATCCTACTGAGTTACTGACCAGCACAGTTTCCTACCTAGAATTTTATATCACAATCAATCAAGCTCAGCTTATACTAACCTTTCTCAAGCAGGTGCTCAACCTCCCAGCCTCATTTCAGCTGGAGGATGTACAGTGTTAATTCATTATGAAAGGATCAATAGTCTGAAAATCTCTGGAAGGTAACAAGTTGGGGGAAGTTTATCTAGACCATATTTTAATGAAATATGAAACAATACTGTACATCCCATAATTTTTAGCTAGAGCAACAGACTTGTTCAAGAATCAGTCCATTCTGTGAAGTAGCCTGAAAAGAAGAACCCTGTTTTTCAAAGCCCTAAGATATCTGTAGTTCAGAAATGAGAACATACAAAGGAGTGCTTTTGAGGCACGTTGACCTGAGTGATGATCCCACCACGCTGGTATGGAGAAAAGGAAGATGTGTCTCCAACCTCCAGGGTGTATTTTCCTAAACACAGAGCAAAAAGATTCAGGTTCTGCCCTGATGTCTATGCCTAACCCTAACCCTATGCAGTTTAATTGCCCCAGAGTCCGATAAAAGCTTATGAATCCAGTTGCTATAAATATAAGCTTCACAATTCAGGTTTCTCTGAGTTTGGAAGTGTCTTGGTTTCCTGCCAAATATTTTAAACTTCCATACTGAAGCCTCACAACTTTCCTTAATTTTCCCATCAACCCAACCACTTTACTATTCTGTCATTCTTCTCTCATAATCTTTGCTAACCCAACTTCGTGATGGATTTTCCATATTAATCCTCCAGTTCTTTCTGAATACATCTGTTCTGTATTCAAGTAGGAAAGAAGGGAAAGAAAAAGAGACCTGTTACCTTTCACACAAATCTGGCGGGGCTTAGAACCATTCAGTTCTGTCATCCCTTCAATCTCAGAGAACACCACCCAGTCACCATCCATAAAGTGATGTCCCTGCTCATCATCACAAGCCACAGTCAATATGCCAGGATTACCCTGAGTGAAGAAGAGAAATCTGAGATCAATTATTACTCTTGCTTCAGACTACTTCAGGATAACCAGTCTATTCCCCCCCCCACGCCCCCAAATCCTTTGGACTCCAATATAAAATGCACCCAAAATTGACCTTGCAATGTTAATGAAATTGACAAGCGTTAATTAGCAATAGTCCAGCTATCTGGAAGTATCAGACTGTTTGGCTTACCCCCCCCCCCCCGGCTTTTCAGCTTAAGAGAGAATAGCTCTATAGGGATGAGCTGGAATTTCATACAGATACAAGCCCCTGGTCATGACCTTATTCATTCTTTAGAAGATTCACCTTGGGCCAAAACCAGATACCTCTGTCTGATAATTCCTTCACAAAAATAAACACTGGGGCTGCCTTGGGTAGAGACATGATATTGAAGCTATAAAGGAGATGTCCAAGAAGAGAGACATGAGTAGAAAAGTAACACAGAAAATTGAGTGGTGGTGAAAAGATATTGGCTTGGTTTGCACAACATGTGATTGTGTATGGGGTAAAACAGTAATTGTATCACAGTGGAGGAAATTACCAAGGTGATGTGTTCAATAGCAGCAGACACAGGGTCAGCTTCTGAAGAATCACACACCATGAAGTTTTCTCCAAAGTCACAGAAAACCTGTCTGGAGTCAGGAGACAAGCAAAAATAAGTCATGCCTCATATGATTCATTCATCTTATTATGCCATCCTTAGAAATACCTTGCACACATGCAGACCTACAAACACTTTCAACCACAGGGTCTCCCTATTCAGAAAAAATTCCCTCTGCAATATTCCACCATTATTTATGTAAGTTCTCCATCTCCTTGTTCCCCTCCTAGAAAAAGGACAACCCACTCAACCATACATACCCAGCCAGGCCTTTGGTGTTAGCTAGGACAAAGCAAATTTTGTTTGCGTGGCAGAAATCACTGATATGCAGCTGCTCCTCCAAGGATGAGTCAGTCAGGACCACAACCTAGAATATATTGGATGTGGAGGTTTGGGGCATAAACCACATTTAGTATCCAACCACAGAGAAGAAACCATATGACACAGAGGGTCACCAAACATATGCTCTCCATTTAATGTCTGACAAGAGTATACCGCACATCTATCCATCCCAGCCATCTCAGTCATGGCAACTGAGTGGGAAGTTTTCCAACATTTTCAGGTGCAACCTCCAGTCAAAATCCTCTAGTTCTTGAGGATAATTTACCATAAAATTACAACTGACAGAAACATTTGACATTGATTGACAAGCTTGCTACTACTGTAGAATGAAGAACAGAAACTCTCCCATCAGTTTAGATGAGAGCTTGCCTAAACACTAGCTTTAATCACTTCTTTCTTGCATCACTAAAGTTGTTTCCTCTCCCATATCTCTCACTTCCAAGATGGCATGAGACATATAGCCCTGTCTTACCTGGAAATCAGCCAAGAAGTTCTCCGATAGTCCACTGGTGTAGTCCCTCACAGCAACTTTGGTGTTTAACTTGGCGAGATGGTGCTTAGAGACCTTAGCTCGGTTTTGCCCAACATCATTCTCTGACAGGTAGAACTATAGAGACATAGCAATGCTAAGAGTAAAAAAAAAGTCCTTCTATAGCATTCTTTGCCACAGATGAAACAGCAATTTTACCCTTTTGTTGCTTTATTCTACTGCCCAGATTTACTGCACCGTCTAGTAGCATATTCTGGAGTTGACTTACAGATCCATTCCCAGCACTATTTCCATACTGTGTGTGTATACAGATATCACTATATGCTGCATGAGAAATGCAGTAGCTGTAATACAGGAGTGTAAGATAAATGTATACGGTTTCTGTTGATCAGAGAGAAAAACCTTAGTGCTTTCCATTGCTTCAAGTCCTCTCCAATATTGAAAGAAACAGAATTCTGACAGCACATCAGAAGATTCTAATAATTTATGCATGATTTTTAAGATATTTTTGGCACATGATAGATAGTTTAGTACTTCAGGGCCACAAAGAGATACTCCATTCTAAGCAACCACTTATACCAAAGAGGATGTTAAATAGCAGGGTCCTAGAATATCTTAACACTGATTCTAAATTAACCTATTATGAAAGTTAGAGTCTAATAGTGTAGCATTTCTAATCTTGACAACTTTTAATGGGAGCTAATAACAACGGATTCATTAAACTTCCCAAATTGGGCAATCTTTTTGAATCCCATGGCTAGGTTATTCATTCAGCCATATACTGTATACAATTAAATTACCAACAATTATCTGTTATTAAATGAGCAATACATCAGGACTAGTTGAGAATCCAGATGGCTGGATGACTCAGAATGTTGGGATATTGGGTTCTATTACACACTTAGAAAACTGTCTTTAAATGCTGGGCATTCCTCCAATGGTCCCATGATGCCACCTGCAAACCACTGCTGGCACATTTACTTGGCCAAGGCTTACAAGAAATTACCTCAGTGAATGAGATTTTAAATGTTAGCATGTGAGGCCGACATGGAAACATATCCCCTCTTCCAGCTTATAAGAGTCACTTTGTGTGAGATGGGCAACTATATAAATATGATTGATTGATTGATTGATTGATTGATTGATTGATTGATTGATAAATAAGAGTGGAGGAAGCAATTGCCTTGTAAGAGGGCCCACTCCTGCAGCAAGCTCAGTGAGATCCACAGTCAACCAGGATGGGTGAGAAAAAATCACACTGCCCTGCTGGCCCATTTGTAAACTGAGAGTAGTGTGAATGATGGGAAAAAGGCATGGCAATGCTGGTGTGGGGGGGAAGGTGAGGATTATTTGAGCTAGCACAGTTTGTGCATTAAAACCAATTAAAACATAATTTGCGCCTTATTAACAGGAGCAGAAATCTGTAGGGGTTCTGGTCTACCCCACAGAGGTCTGGGTGGAGACTGACCTCCCTCCTCACTTCATAGCACTCTGGGCTGAAGAAGGTAGAGAACCTTTCTTTAGACAGGAGGAATTGGAGAACAAGACACTCCCAATTCTTCTGTACAAGAAATGTGCTACTTCCTTTGTGCTACAAAAGGAGGGGATGAAACATTCCCCACCTCCTTCTGCACAGAAAGAAATACTCTCTGCAAAGGAGGTGAAGAATGATTTTAGAAATTGATAATATATAAATGTATATGTATGCATGTATATGTGCATATGAGTGTGTAAGAGATGTTTATGGATCTACATATACTACATACAGGCTTGTGGAAAAGTAACTACAGCAGAAAAAACCTGCATAGAATGTTTGAGCAGAATCAAAGGAAGACCTACTCTAGGCCTTACAATTGCTCTCTCACATTTGTTAGACAACGCCAGGAAACTGCATACCTGTGAGGACAGGTCACTCCACTGAGCATCATTCTGGTCATGGAGAGTGACAGATTTCACACCTGCAAGAATCACATTCTTGGCAATCTCGACCCCCAGCCCCCTCATTCCAGAAACCAGCACCGCAGCTGTAGCCATCTTCTGCATGGCCTGGTGGCCCAGCACATAGCTAGAACAAAAACAGCACATGCCAAGGCTGAACAGTGGATTCCTTCTGCTCTTGTTCAACTGCACTTCCACCTTACTTTGGTTTTCTTTGCCAACTACCACTCCCTATCTTTGTTCTCTCTCTCATTATAGATTTTAGTCCCATCCTAGGTTGTGGGAATGGTATGTGGGAATGACCTCAGAAGAGAGGAGGAGAACTGCAGACTGGACAACCAGCGTGTAAAAGGTATCTCAGTCCACAGAAGGAGGGAGGGCATGGGAAATGTTTCAGAAGAGACCCTCCCTAGTTTTCTGGAGAGGGAAAGGAAAGGAGGGGAGAAATACTTTCAGTCTTGCAAGAGTCTGTTAACGTAACCTTACAGTAAAGATAGAGCTAGTGCTCTTGGTTGCGCTTCTTGTCTGGACAACCTCAGAAGGCTAACAGTTGTCTTATTCTCCAGATTCTTCTCCAAAATAAATTCCACCAGATGTTCACTCTCTATCCAGCTACTCTCAGTCCGCATTGGGACTCTATTATACCAGCTATCAAGCAATATCCTTTTTGAGCTCCTTAGAATTCCTCCCACCTTCATGTCCTATGTTATCACACTCACAGTTGGCGGGAGTACAATTCCTCATCGATCTTCGGAAGGTACTCTGTGGCACTCATTCTGATCCTGCTGCTTCTGTACTGTCAGGGAAAAAAGAAAAACAGAAGGACCAAGTCATTGTATCACGCTATTGGAAGGAGGGAGAAGCCAAGATGGTGACAAATTAGCAGCTACTGAAAAGTCTTGATTTATGAACTTATTACCCAGGCATCAAGGTGGGCAACCATGGCTGTGACTGCCAGTGACAGCTGTCCTCTTCTCTAGAACAACGTTCTCTGTGATATCAGACAAGCCCCAGCCTTGTTAGCTTTCACAAAGACATTAAGCTGTTTCAGAAGGCCTTGCAGGGCCGAAGGAGCCATTTTAATCTTTCCTGATGAGGATAGCGTTATGGCTAACCCTTGGCATGTAGTGTGTGATCTATCACGCTGTTGTTTTATTATTTTTTTATGACTGTACAGTTGCATCTAGTTTTAATCTTATTACTGTTTTGGAGGTCTGCAAGCTGCCCAAAGTCAGTCATGATTGGAGTGGCGTAGCCTAGTACAGTGTTTCTTGAACTTTTTTCTACCAGGACCCCTTCCCACTTTTAAAAATTATGGAGCTTGTTTGTATGGTTATATTTATCAATATTTACTGTATTAAAAATTTAAACTGATCCATTTATAGAATATGCATTTATTGAATAATGTAGAAATATTAAACCCATTTGATATTACCATAAATAACATATTTTCAGGGGGAAAAAACCTATTTTTAACAAATAAAAAAACGAGAAGAGTGTCATTGTTTTCATTTTTTGCAAACATCTGCAATATCTGGCAAATAATTTTGATTCTGAGGACCCCTGAGAGGGTCTTGGGGGGGCCCCAGGGTTCCTAGGACCACACTTTAAGAAACACTGGCTTACTGTACTAAAATAAATTAAATTTGAAAAGAAAGTACATCCCAGCAGGGGGCAGCATCTGGCTGACCTTGCCTGGATTCAGAAGTTCAACAGAATCAGGCCTAAATAGATCACCAGAGAATTCTAAAGCTGTAGGCTAGACCTGGAAGTTGAAAAGGCATTCTGGGAAAAGGCAGTGGCAAACCACTTCTGCACAGTTGCTAAGAAAAATGCATGGATGTGTCCAGGTAGCTACCAGGAGCTGAAGTGGACTTGCAGATGACTAACTACATGGATAAATGGTTGTGACTGGTGTTGCAGCCCACCAGGGACAGGTCCATCAGCCAGTTTTAGGACCTCCCATATATTTCCCTTCTACCTCCCATGAGGGCCATACAATCAACTAAGGGAGGCAGCACCTTGGGGCTCACTGGCAGAGGGGGCCTGGGACCAACTTCCTCCTTGCCCCACGCAATCTTTAAAACAAACAAACTAACTAACTAACAAACAAAAAAAACCCACCAGGTCCCGTTGGACCTCAATAGGTAGGCATACGGTACTGTATTACAGCTGCAAAAATCTGGACAAACACCAAATGGCAATGAAAAATTAGAGTTTTCTGTATCTCTTTGCTGCCAGCTGCCAGTCATCTGGATTTTTCAGCCCAGCTACAGTATGACTGGGAGCAGCTCAGCCAGATTGGCAAGCAGCAGTTTCAACAGCACAGAACAAGTGGTGCCCAGGGCAGTTCAGATCCTGCTTCCTGCTTCAGTTCACACACAGAACTTAATCCAGCTGTTTCAGGGTATTCTTCTAAGAGGACTCCCAGTAGAATTAGAATTTTTAAACTTTTTGATGCTGCATTTTAAGAATCACTTTTTTTATCTTTTATAATGATTGTTTTTATCTATTTGTTATTTTATTTAATTGTTGTACACCGTCCAGAGTCACTTTGTGTGAGATGGGCAGCTATATATATATATATGATGATAGATAGATAGATAGACAGACAGACAAGTTTTTTCTCTTCTGAACAGCAGAATTTCATGTTGTTATCACCAATTGATTTCAATGCCTTTACAGTTTCTGTGTTGGTATTAGGCAGGGAACAGGTGTGTGTGTGTGTGTGTGTGTGTGTGTGTG